TCTACTCTCCCCTCCCCTCAGACAGGACAGGAGCCTAAAGCGGTGGTACACGGAGGGAAAGGCTGGGGGGGGGGGGGGAGTTGTGCTTGTAATTCTTTCTCTCCTTTTGGGGATCTGGGGGTGCAAGTGCGTTGGCGGCACCCAAGTGGCCGGCCTGCTCTTCTCCAAGGCAATATCCCCTGTCACCCCTTCTCCCAGGCCCAGCCCAACAGAGATAAGGCCATCCCCTTCTTCCTGACCCGAAGCCCAGGTTTGGATGCAGGGACCCGACTCACTTTTTCTTATTAAAACAAAACAAAACAAAACAAAACAAAACAGTCCGCATCTCCAAAGGGTCAGGGAGTCAGAAAGTGAAACCAGTCACCCCAGCCATAGAGACATTCTGTGAACCAAATCCATGGGGGCAGAGAGGGGCGGGCGTGAGTGCTGTGCGCGCCCACGCGGCGGGAGCGCGCTGTGTGTGTGGGGAGGCCGTGCTGTGTGCCTCTCGGTGTGGGGTAGCCCCTGTGGGTGCGTGCTGGCTGCGGGGTTAGCGAGGATGTGTCCATGTTGGTGATTTGCGTGTGTGCCGTGCGGTGCCGTGCGCGCTGGCTGGGCGAGCATCCTCACTCCAGCTCCGTCCCGGCCCCGGCTTCCGCGGGCCCCGGGCGGTGGAGACCCCGCAGACCGCCCCCGTGTCTGCGCCGGGGTCCGGGGTGTCTGCAAAGCCCGGCCGCGCCGCCTTCGTTTGGGGCGAATTCGCTGCATCCGGGTTGCCCTCGGGCCTCCCGCCCGCTCGGCGCTTCGCCTCCTTCTAACCCGCTCCCACCCGGTGTCCGGCTCGGGGTCCCCGCGGGTGGGCGGCCGGAGGGGCTCCTGGCAGGTCCGCGGCTGGGACACTCGGCCCAGAAGTCCGGCTCCCAGGCCCGGAGCCCGCGCCCCGCACCCCGGCCCTTGCGTGGCTCCTGCTCCAGGGCAAGTCCGGCTGCCTGGCGGGGGCAGCGCCCGCACCGCGCCCTCCACGCCGCCCCCTTTAGGCTAACCATGGTCTTTGGGGAGGGGGCGGGCTCGGCCCAATAGTGGTTCTAGTTTGTTTATCCGAACGCGCTCGGCGATTTCCTAGGGATGTGTTCTTTAAACATCCCGGTCAGCCCACGGGGAAGGTTTCCCGGAGCGGGGATGGCATTGGGAAGGGAAGCGAGGACGCACGGGCGTGTGGCTGCAGACGCAGCTGGAGCCTTCGTGGGGAGCCCTCTGCCCGGCGGTGCGGGGATCAGAGGTTGTGCCGACCCCACGGCCTCTCTCCTCCTCCTCCTCCTCCTCCTCCTCCTCCTCCTCCTCCTCCTCCTCCTCCTCCTCCTCCTCCTCCTTCTCCTTCTCCTCCTCCTCCTCGGGAAGAGTCGCCGACCGGCCGCCCGGCGCCCAGAGAGCGCTCCGGGGAGCCTGGAGGTGGGCGCCGGGGAGGCGCAGGGCGGGCCGGACTCGCGGCGACCTCAGCACCGTCCGTCGCCCGGCACGCTCAGCATCCCTCCCTCTGACCGGAGAAAAGCATCGCCAAGTGAAAGGGGGTGAGGGTGGAGGGGGAAGGGGTGTCCCGGGGACGCCGGCCTCTCCGGACTGCCCTCCCGGGCCTCGCAGACTGTGGGGGCTTTAACCGCCGCGCACCCGGCCAAGCGGAGGGAGAGTTCCTTCCACCCCACCCCCAGCCCACCAGACGGAATTATTCACAAAGTTTCCCCAAACCGAGTTCCTACGAAAGCCCCGCCAAATCGGACTTAAATCCCACCGAGAACAGACAGAACTAAGCTCCGATTTCGTTTGGGGACTGCGGGTGGGTTGGAGGAGAAAGGGAGCGGATGAGCGCGCCCGAGGCCTGGGGTCGCGGTGCGGTTTCTGTTCACCTGTCCGCACCCGAACGGAAGGGAGCCCTCCGTCGCCGACGCCGAGCCTTTGCTCAGGATCGAGCCCCGGGGCTGCGCGAGAGCCCTGCGCACCCACCATGTGTTCCGGAAGGATGGGGTCCCCGCTTCCAGAGAAAATCCGCACTTGGGGTGGCGGCTTCCAGCAAGGCACACACCCCACCGCCGCGGATGCTTATTCTGCGCAAAGAATCGTGTTTCTGATCTATCAATCGATTGATCCATCGGGTAGGATTGCAAAGAGCCCCGGATTGACCACCCACTGTGCACCACGAGGATCTCCCAGGTCCAGCCGCCACTCCTGAAGTGACCCCCAACATCGAAACACCGTGGCGACTCTGCCCTCCGCTCCCAGGGTCTCACTCTGTGGGGTTCCCGGGAAGAAGGCTGGGAGGGCCGCTTCGGGAGAGGCTGAGATATTGGCAGTGACAGGACAGAGTTCCTTTTTGTTTTTCTTGGCCCCCCCCCCCCCCCGCCAGGTTTCATTACGTTTTGGGATTTTGGTTTTTGCAATTCACTCTAAAGCAAATGACAAAAGCATGGAGATCTTCAGCACAGCTCCCTCTTGGTTACCCCTTCTGGATAAAACGGGTCTCAGAGATGGGAAATGGCTGACCCAGTGACCCAGTCCACCAAGCCAGGAAGTTGGAGGCTGAGCTGGAATGGGAACCCAGGCCGCAGGCCTCCCTCCCTCCCCTCCGATCAAACACATTTGCAGCTCTTCCCAGCCCCCATGCCCACCCCTTGCCCGTTTCCTGACTCCCCCTTCCCCAGGTGGGTGCGACGTGGCACCTGCCCGGAGAGGATCTCTCTCTTGGATACACGTTCCCCAATCAGGTGCCCCTGGGCTCAGAAGAGGGAACCCTGGAAAGTGAGGGGCTGATGGAGAGAGCGGTTTCCGCATTTGTAAACGGGGTAATAACAGCACCCACTTCACTCATGTTTTTTTGTAAAGATGTACAAGGATAGGATATTGTGAGTTTCATAAATTTAAAAGGGCTGCAGGGTGTTTCCTCCTGGTGCGTGGGGGTGAGGGTCCTGCATGAGTTCAGCAAAGCCCCCTGAGAACGTCCAGAGGCTCTCACTATGGTCCTCCTGGCTTTGGGGGTGCCTAGGACAGAGGCTTGGGGGAGCGGGGTTGTGAGCCCTCCTGCCCTTTCTGGCTAGATCCAGCACAGAAAGGACTCCAGGTACAAGGCCCGGGAGGACATGTCTTTCCGCCACCCTTTCAGTTCCACCTCAAAAGCACGTGCTAGGGAGACCTTCCCTGACCGCCTACCTACTCCAAAGAGCATGCTCTTCCTCGGAGGCACTCTGAGGTGCTGTCCCTGGCACCCACCACAGCTCCGGGCAGGCGGCGTGGCTGCCTCCCCCAGAGGAAGAGGTGGTGGCGGAACGGAAGGTTTGTAAGGATTCATCCTTGCAAGTTCGTAGCTTCAGTTCTAAGGAGGTGGAGGAGGAGCGGCAGAATTGGGTAAGAAAGGGGGGAAGGTGGTCCTACGTGAAAACAACAAAATTTCTCAGGGGAGCGAGCCTTGCATATCCTGCTGGGTGAAAGGGCGTGGCTTCTCCAGCCCGAGGAAGGCTCCGGCGCAGAGCTGCTCCTGGAGCGCCAGCACTTCCGGTGCCGCTGCCAGAGATGCGCTGCCTTGGGAAAACTCCTCTCAATCCATTCTAGTGGGGAGTCCGGATTGAAACCGACTTGCTGCTCCTACCCCATGGGCCACCTGACTGGGGGTGCAGGTCAACCCCTCCCCCACCCCTTTGATCTTTCTGTCCCTGGGAGCCTGGCCACCCCCAGTGCTCTCTCTCACTCTTCTAAGCTTCCCTCTTCCTCTGATAACTGTATTTCCCCACCCAATCCTAACACTGCTGTCTCCACTCCGAGCCCTGATAATGAGAGTGCGTGTGTACATACCAACACAAACACGCCTGCTTGAGTTGAATACTCAAGTGAAAGGTGTGTATATGGACTTGGGGGTGTATCTGTCTCTCTAACATAAAGCATCTTAGAGGCGTGTGGACAAATGGTAGGTACACACACCTATGGACTTATATGCTTGGGTTTTCAAATGTACACACTGGCAATTCGACCTGCACAGTGGTGGGTCTGTGTAAGAGACAAGTATAGTAGGGCTATTGCTCTTCACCTTTGGGTATGTAGATATGTATATATCACAGCCTAGACTCCGTATTTGCAGATCCATTAAGGAACCTCTCTATTCTTAGAGGGATGCTAATGGATCATCAGTTAGACACCCGTTTATTGGTATAGTTGTATCTGGATGGAGTCTCTGTGTACCTGTGGTCATAGATGCTTGCACGTGGACACGTGTCCACCAAGGTACTGGGCACTCTTGTTTAGAGGCAGGTCCTGCGCGCAGACTGAAAATGCGGCCACCAAGCCAGGCCAGCTGCATTTCCTACGCCCTCTGAGGAGCCAGCAAACTGGACTGGCCTCCCACCCCCGGATTACTGTCCCAGTTCGCGCACGGCCTCGGCCTCAGCCTCACGGGCGCCAGGGGACAGGTGGGACGTCCCAGGGCAGAAGCCCAGACTGTGGGTCCCTCCTGCGGCCCTGGGGGGGGGGGGGGGCCGCAGCAGGAGCTGGGGTGTCCAAACCAAATGGGGCCACAGCCGGAAGCGGAAGCCGGGGCCGGGCGGTGGGGGGGTGGTGGGCGCAGCGAAGGCGGCGGTCGCGGAGTGCCAGGCCCCGGGCACCCGGCGGGGGCGTGCGCGCCGCGTGCCAGCCCGGCCGGCTCCTCCCCCAGCCCGGCGTCTGTTTACCAACAACCTGCGGCCGCTCCGCAGCGACGCATTCCGACGCGGTGAATAAGCTGCCGGCACTCGGGTCCGTGCTCTGCTTCCCCTCAGCTCCGCGGGCCCGGGCCCGAGCGGGGGGCCTCCCGCCGCAGCTTCCCGGCGCCCCCCCAGCCCGACGCAGCGCCCCGGCGCCGCCGAGCTGCTCCCCTGGCCCCTCGGGCATCGCAGCCCCGCCAGCTCCCTCCGTTTCTGCCTTCGTGACCGTGACGTTCCCAGACGGCCCTGTCCCCCGCCACCCCGCAGCTCGGTCGCAGAGGACCCCGGGGTAGCCAGCCCCTTCGATCCCCGGCTCCGAAGCTTCCTCCCTCCGGCTGCCCCGGGGGCGGGCCCTGGCGCCGGGCCTCCCGTGAAGTCACCCCGTGCGGCGGCCAATCCGGGGCGTCTAGGTGGGCGGGGCCCCTGTCGGGTCCCGGGAACCGAACCCACGAGCAAGAAGAGGGGGGCCCCCCATGGACTTAGGGGGAGGGGAAAAGCCATGGGGGCAACCCCGGAACCCCTTTCCCAGGCGCGCGCTCCCGGCTGAAAGAGGCGCAGAGACACTTTCCCGGGATCTTAAGTCTGGGGGAGGCTCGCCGGGGGGCCCCCTCGGCCTCAGCGCCCGAGGCTCGGAGAAGAGACCGTTGGCCAAGAGGGCGGACTGCGTGCGGGGTCATGGCGTAGGCCCTCCGGCCCCGGCCCGGCCGCAATGTCCTCCTCGCCCTGCCCCCTCCCTGGCCCGGACGCCTCCAGAGCGCTCTTCCCGGATATCGCCCCCGTCCCGTCCGTCGTGGCTGCCTACCCGCTAGGCTTGTCCCCCGCAACCGCAGGCGCCTCGGATTTCCCCTGCTCTGGGCCGTACGGCCACCTCCTGCCTTGCCCCTACCCCGCCGGACCCACGGCGCCCGCAGACGCCTACCCGCCCTGCCAGCACCCCGCGGCGCCCGCCCCGCCCCCTCCGCCGGCGCGGGAGGCAGGTAAGGACGCGGCTGCTCCCCCACCTCCTGGGTCCTCCTCCTGTGAACCCCTAAACCTGGTCTTCGCCTGGTTGGGCGCAGCTAGCGGGATTCAGACTTTACTCAGATTCCAGGGGATCTGGGAGTGGGAGGAAGGCAAAGGGATGGGGCGGGGGATGGGGTTAGAGGATGGGGGAAGGGAGAGGGGGAGGGGCGTGGGCGAGCTGATCTAGGTCTCCTTTCAAGACCGACCTGGTTTCGATTTTCAGTGTGTGAAGCGGGGGCGGCGGGGCCCACGGGGCCCTCCACCCCACCCCCTGGAGCCCCCGGGGTGGTGTGTATCTCCGGGTAACCGGGTAACGGAAAACTGAAAGAATCCAGATGTGGGTGTGGGTGCCCAGCCCCTTCCCCAGGGCTCTCTCCGTCCTGCACGCCCCTTCCCCGCGTCGCCCCTCTCCGCTGCATTCGTTTAGTGCTCAAGCCAAAGCCTGAAAAGCAGAAATGGGGTTTCAGCGGAGGGCAGTGGGAGTGGTGGCCTATCTGGGGCCCCTTTCCCTCTGCTCCTGGACTTTGCCCAAAGCGCCGGACTGAGAGGGGGGACGCTGACCTGGGCCAGGACTCTGCCATCCACTGTCCTAGGAATGTGGCCACAGGTGTGCAAACCTCAGCCTTCCAGCCACAGGAGCCGCCTCCATCACCTCTGCCCCCTGCCTTTGGGGCATGTCAGGCCCGAGTTCCCATTGCCTGGAGCAACTCTGGGCTCCGGAGAAAGTGCTCGCGGGAGGTCATCAAAGCCTCCAAGGGGCAAGGAGCCTGTCTTCCTGGTCCTGGGATCACCGTACCTGCACCGCCTGTCCTGGCTGCCAGCTCAGACCCCAGGCCCCCCACATCCCTGCCCCCACCGAACTGACCCCACAGTGGTCTTTGGCAGTTTCCTCCAAGGTTGCACATCGCATGAACTGATGACCTCGCTGGAGTCAGCCCAGGACCGAGACATCTTCCTGCTCCTGTCACTCTGCTGAGACACGGAAGCTCCTAAGCCTCAGAGCTAGGGGTGACCCTAGACATTTGGGAGCTCAATCTCCTGGATGTACAGACGAGCACACAGAGGCCTAAAGAAAGGGTGTGTGTGGGCAAAGGACACAGCCTGTATTCCTGACTCCTGGGCTTGGCAAATTGACTTTCACTACGGGAGGCCAGAAAAGTGGATTTTAGGGAAGGTTCTCAGAGCCCCCCAATGCTAACTGCTTTCTGTGCGGAACGGTGGCTGCCTCTCCCCAGCTGCTGAGGCCATCACTGGGGGATGGGCAATTGGGGAAGATGTCTACAAATTATCTCATTGCTACAAACCAGCCCTCAGTCCCTTCCCTTCAGAATATGCAGATGTGGTACCTTTGTGTGTGAGTGCATGTTTGCCGCGGGGCGGGGGTGGGAGTAAGATAATCCGGTCCTTCAGATAACTGCCAAAAAATGGGGAAGGTGTTTTGAGCCCTGCTGACCACCGTCCCTGCCTCCCCTTCTCAGTCTAGGGCTGGGAGTGAGAGTTCATTTTCTTTATGCAATTTCCCCGGGTGCAACGAAAACCACACTGGTTTTGGACTATTATAGATGGCAGCGTTTTTCACGGAACCCGGTGGGTTTGGCTCACTCTGGTTGGGACGACTGGGGTGTGAGAGAGGGCCTGGGGTCCTCCTTTCGGCCCCCTCAGCGTCCACCCCCGCCTCAGGGGGAGGTTTGGCTCCTGATGAGCTAAGTGCCACCACCCTGTGAGCTGGGACTTCAGGGAGGCCCCGGGGCTCCGGAGCGCGGACCAGGGGAGATCTTGTCGGGACTTGCTGCTGCAGCTGTCAGCGAGGGAGCCTGGGGGGCTGCTGGGAGAGCCGGGGCGCTGAGGGCTGCGGAGTTCCGAGCCCCGTGGGCTGCCTCCAGGGCTCTCTCTGCGTCACCCTCCGAAATGGCCGGTCCCGCAGCCAGAGAGGTGGGCGCTGGGCTGCCAGCCCCAGGCTTGGAGCCATGAAGGCTGGACGGCGCAGGCTGGAGCGGAAACCCAACCGTTTTTTCTTTTCTTTTTTTTCTTCTGAGAATTGACTGAGGTGGGGGGGGGGGGGGGCGGGAGGTCGTAGGGGGTGGATCGGGGAAACCCGATGCGCCCCAGGCCCAGGGAGAGGGATGCAGGGGAGGCAGCCAGCCAAGGGCGGGGAACCTGCCGTGTGGGTTGAGCCAGACAGGACGAAGGTCGAGGGGATGGGACAAGGGGGGACCCCAGCCGTCTGCGCTCAGGGGTCCAGCGCCCCCGCAGCTGGGACTGTTCGCTCTAAGCCCGAGGGCATGTCAGCCGCTCGGTGCACCAGCCCATCGGCACGGGATGGTCTCCGTGTCCCCATGCAGAAGTGCAGGTGGGAGCCGCCCGCGTCCGAAGTGGACACTTTCTCGCCCCCTCTCCCCCCACACTCAAGGGCCGAGAGGCCGAGCCGAGGGGCCGGAGGTGACCAGCTCTCCCGCGGCCACCGCAGCGCGATCCGATCCAGAAGGGGCCGAGGGCCGCGCGTCGCCTCTGCAGCCCCGGGTCGCCTCCCCAACCGGCCCGCCGAGATCCCCCCTGTGAGTCGGCCGGGCGGCCTCCGGGGTCCCCGAAAGCCTCCGCCCCGGGCCAGCCGGCCCAGCGGGCAGGGGAGCGGTGGCCAGCGTTCCCGCCGAGCGCTCCCGAGGAGCCGGGCGCTTTGGGGCGGCATCAGAGGGGCGCTGATCCTGGACCCCCCCACCCCTTCCTCTGGCGGCGGAGGGGATGCCACGCAGCCGCTGTCAGGCTCCTCTAAGCCGGGCCTGGAGCTCCTCTCGCCTGGAACGCCCTGCCCCGTCCTCCCCGGGCCTCAGCCCAGCCCTCCACCCAGCCTGTCAGCCCCACCCCGCCCCGCCACACCCCGAGCTGGCGCCACCGCCACCGGCTGAACTTTGACCTCTCGCCGCGGGCACCGCCCCTGCCCTCGCTCGGGCCCTGGGCGCTTTCTTCCCAGGTCACGGGGCCCCTGAGAGTGTGAGTTCCCCGAGGGCAAGTGGAGCGGAGGGTAGAGAAGAGCCGCCCCGCGCCGGGGCTTTTTGCTCATCCCAGGCCAGCATGCAAATGAGATGCAAATGAGCCCATGAAAAACCCGGCGCGTCCGGCCCTCGTTCATCGCACCCTCTGTCCCGCTGTCTGTCCCGCAGAGTCCGGGAAGCCGCCGCCGTCCCCGGAGCCCTCGGAGCGGCTCCCGCGGGCCCCGACCAAAAGGCTGCGCAAGCCCAGGACTATCTACTCGAGCCTGCAGCTGCAGCACCTGAACCAGCGCTTCCAGCACACGCAGTACCTGGCGCTGCCCGAGAGGGCCCAGCTGGCGGCACAGCTCGGCCTCACCCAGACCCAGGTGGGGCCGGTCCCATCCTTCCTGCATGCTAACCATTCCTCCGCGTTCTCCGGGAACGCACCCCCGGGGTGGGAGCGACCTATGAGTCCCTTAGCCCTGTTGTCACAAGTTCTCCAGGGTGTGTTCCTAGCTGGCCCTGGACACCCGGGGGAGTGTATTACCAGGGGTTGGGGGAAGGGGAGGCTTCGGTGGAGGAAGGGATCCAGATTGGGGGAGCTCAGGGGCGTCCAGGACTGTGGAGGACTGGAGCGAGTGTTCCCTGGTTCTGCTCTTCCCCCAGGGCTGCTCCCTACTGGGTCACATCCTTCCACACACGTATTCCGCCTCATTCTGTCCCCTTTTCTCCCTGAAGGTAAAGATCTGGTTTCAGAACAAACGTTCGAAATACAAGAAGCTCCTGAAGCAGAGCTCTGGGGGACAGGAAGGGGACTTGTTCGGGAGGCCCTCCTCCCTGTCTCCCTGCTCCCCACCCCTGCCATCCCTCTGGGATCTCCCCAGGGCAGGGGCCCTGCCTGCTGGGAGCTATGGCAACAGCTTTGGAGCCTGGTATCAGCACCACTGCCCGGATGTTCTGGCTCCACCCCAGATGATGTGAGCCTGCGCAAAGGTGGGCCGGGCCCCTAGCCCTCCTCCACAGCCCAGGACCCGGCCCATCCGCACCTCCTCTGGGCTGGGAGGAAACCAGCTCCAGGTGGATTTTCTCAGGATGAGGAACTAGAAGAGGATAAGGATGAGATGGAGCCCTGTTCCCCTTGGCCCCATCACCCAAGGAGCCCAATAAAGGACTTCCTGCTCCTCACTACCACCATGGACTGAGTACCTTCCCTTCAGCTGACCAGAGGCTCTGGAGAGAGTCATTGGCTGGAGTTCAGACTGCTCCCAGGACCCCTGTCTTGCCACCCCTTCCTTGAGGGACCACAGTCCTACCACAGTCCGGAGTCAAAACCAGCAAGACACACTGAGTGGTTTTAATGGGTGTGCCTTGGACCGTGCCCAACCCATTTGAGAGCAGAAGCGGGCATGAGGTGGGCATCCAGTCTTCAAGTTGCCCACCATCAGGTCCCTCCTCCCAGTGTTTCCTAGAGGTCAGCCCATCACCCCATCACTGATGTACCTTCTCACCTTCCTGTGAGGGAGAGGAATGCTGAAAATGTGGAGTTCCTAGGCCTATGGATAATTTATGTTCTCTTAAAAAGCCCTCCCCTCCCCCCCCCCGTTTATAACTTTGAGTAGATAATGGTTTCAATTATCCTTATAATTCGATGAGTATTTATTGAGCCCTGCCTCATACCTAACAACCCCACGTGCACATATTATTGGGAACACAGTAGGGTAATACTTTGGACAGAATGGGGACAAACAGGCTCCCTGGAAGAGTGTAAGTAGAGACACCCCAAATGGGTGGGGTGGGCCCAGCAATTCCGCTCCCCACACCTGACTCTGTCTGAATGAAATACATGGATGACCAGTCGGACTAGTGTCCCCGTGCTCCTGCCAGCTCCTCCTACTGTGACTTCCAGAAATTAAAGTTTGTACAAAAACCCGGGCCCTGGCTGAGGTGTGTTTGTTTCCTGACTTCTGGGGCTGGCTGCTCATCTCCTTCCCTCCCCTCTGGCTCTTCCAGCCCTGAACTAGAGGCACTGGAGCCTGGGTTTGCCTCTGCTACTAGTTCTGTGACGCTAGTTCTAGAATGTCCTAATAACGTCCATATTTTCATGACGCTTCGGTGTGAAACCAGAAGATGCTAATGCTGGGAACAACCTCAGTCCTCACCAGCTACGTCTCTCCTGGCCCAGTTCTGGAAAGAGCCAGACACCACACCGCCCCCTGTGCCCCACTTTCAGCTCAGACAGACCCTGCCCCCCTTGGAAGAGAATGTACCCACCACGTCGATCCAGCTCATCCCCAAGAGAAGAGTGTTCCTTGTGGGTGGCAAGGCTCCAGCCCACATAGAGGAAAGGGTAGGAGGGGGTGGAGGAGAAGAAAACCCCAGAAGGAACTGGACTTCTCCGTCCAATAAACATTCGTGGAGCCTCTGCTCTGCCAGATCCCAGATGCCAAGGTGACTTAGGCAGACCCTGTGGGTACCAAGGTGACCGAGAGACTCTGCAGGCTGACAGGGGAGCCAGACAAATGGCAGCCACTGGTGTGGGGCCAGGCTCATGGATAAACAGAAGTGTGGGCATAGTCCAGGGCCCCAACTAGGCCTGGGCCCATCAGTAGACTTATAGCCACCCTGCCCCACCATACATACGGCACCCAGCGGCAGGGGACAGGGTGGTCAATAACTCAGAGAATCCAGCCCAGCCTGACTGGAGGGGTGGGGGAGGGGCCTCCAAGTCCAGGAAAACAGCTCCCAATTCCAGCTTTCCTCTTACTGCCTGAACCTGTTCCCGGGCACACAGGCCCGTCCTGTCTGGAAAGACCACTCACTACGTTGAGTCAATCCCACCAGCCGGAGAAAGGCCCAAATTAGCCTTGTGTGTAGAGTAGGAGGTGGGGAGTGCGATTCAGTGGAAGCCCCCTGCTCAGGAGAAGGTCTGCAGTCCGTCCCTCCTAGGCCCTGTTCTGGGTCAGTGACCACCCCCACTTCCCAAAACACACGTGGAGGTTTCTCCTGGGGGTGGCAAATGGCACGGGGTCGGCAAAGCCAAGATCCAGGAGCAGTGAAGAATGAGGGTGTCAAGAGGAGAAGCCTCCTCTTCCTCAGCACCAGTGCCTTCCCCCCACCCCTGGCTCCCCTCTTTCCACGGCTCTCAGGGGACCCTGCCCCAGATGCCTCCTCTGGTCTCCTCTGAGGCTACCAGCCCTCGGGGCTGCTGATCCCTCCCACTGCAGGTTGCACACACTCCTCTTTCCACAGACCCACGATAAGATCTACCGCCCCATCTCGGAAAGCCTCCAAAGGCGAGATTAATTGGACAGCCAAACACGAGTCGCATCGTTAAAACAACAGCCCAGGTTGTAAAGTTAAGTAGCAGCAGTGTAATTGCTCTCCCAGCCAGAGGCCTGCTGAGCTGACAGCGTCTCCCCCTTTCCACCCGCATCCAGCTGCCCTTTCCAGGGCAGGAAGGGGCACCCTCTCCTCCTTGGGAGCCAGGTCAGCTTCCCTGAGCTCCTGGGGGACCATGGGCCTGGAACCCCAGCAGAGGAGGATCCCCCTCCCCCCTCCCTCCAGCCTCTGAGCTGTAGGCGGGGAGCCTGTGGTCTCTTCTGTGAGGGAGCTCTTCTCAGAAAATCGGGTCCATGAGGGAGAGAGGATGAGTCCGAGTGGTTAAGAATGGGGGCTTTGGCCTGGCCAGTGAGCATGGTCTTGTGCACCAAAAGGTTGCTGGCTTGATTACCAGTCAGGGCACATACTCAGGTCAGGGTGTGAGTTCAAACCCATGCAGGAGGCAACCAATTGATCTCTCTCTGTCTCTGAAAAAAATAAAAATGAAAACATTTTTAAAAGGGGGGGAGGGGCTTTGCCCTCCAAAGAGTCCCAGTCTTGTGCTTCTGCCCCTCTGAGGGGAGCACTCATAGGCCCTGCTCGCAGTGTGGTTGTGATGAGGAAATGAGATAGTGCTTGTAAAGTGCTTGACATGGTGCCGGGAACATAGTAAGCACTTCATACACAGCACATATAGCTGCTGCGTGATGATCAGGGGGAAGGGGTCAGGTCACTGCCATCCATTCACTTCTCTCGGGCCCATCTGCCACCTGAGGGTAGGGAAGGGGGATGGGGCTGGAGACGCCACGCATCCCTGGTCACCACCAGTTGAGAGCAGGACCCAGGCAAGACCCTCGGTGCACTGGGCACGTAAACCAGCCGAGACTGGCAAGTGGAACCCATGGGGAGTCCAGGGCACATTCTCTCCCGTGTAAGGGTCTCAGCCACAAGAAAGCTGACTCCGGGCTTCCCTTCCCTCTCGCCACGTGCTATTTTAAGACCTGCTCCCCATTTTCTCCCCCAACGAAATGAGATTCAATTAATTCAATTAAAGCAATTTTGGGAGCAGCTCCTGAAGGCTTTCAATGTGAGATAATTACAAGTAATTTGCTCCTGTGAAGAGGAAAAGGGCACCGAGGGTCTGGGGGGAAAGGAGGCAGTCCCCTCCCCACCAAAAGCACACACACATCCAGAGGGATTCCACTCGGCGATCTTAACTGCCCTCCCATTGGCCAAATTACTTGCAGGTGGGGAGAGGGAGAACGCGGTGGTGGGAGGGGGCTGGGAAGACACGGAGTGACAGGCCGCCCCTCCCCCACCCCCCAACCCTCTGTGCGCAGAGAGGTGGGGGGCTGGCCGCTCCCGACAAAATGTCTGCACGGCCCTAGCAGCTGATTACTCAGCTCTAAACCTCATCTGAGCTTGGATGCCTGAACTTGCCTCTGGGATTGTATCCAGAGTCAATGGAATGCTATCCGGGTAGCTGAGGCCTGTGTAGACCGGGCTTGGAGATCAAGGACGAACCCCATCGCTTATAAGGGATGTGGGCCGAGAGGAGGAGGAGGAAGGCCAGAGAAGGAGACACTGACTTTCTGCTCTCCAGGAGGTGATGGTACACCCGCTGTCTCTCCCCCCTGGATCTGTGCTTTCTAGTTCTGCCTCGTATCTGAGCTCAGCTCTCCCCATGGCGGTGGTGGCAAATCGCCTCTCGGCCAGCACCAGTTCACCTGGGGTCACCCTTTCCTGGCCCGGGCTCATTTGACCGGGAGGAGGCGGAGGGGCAGCATGATGGTGCTAAGAAGGGCCTACAGGCAGAGGCTAGGAGATGGGCTTCTGGTCTTTGCAAAGACCCCTTAAACCTAGCCTGCAGGGTAGCTGGTTTCAATGGACTAGGGTTCCCCATTAGCTGGGAGCTCTGTCCAGGAGATGAGTAATGTGTTAACAATGATGTGGGAAAAGAAAAACTCATTGACCGTCTCCCCCAATTCCCCCCTGTAAATTTCTGTTTTTATCTTCCCTTCTTTCCCATCTCTCTTCTTGCTTCTCCCCTTCCAAGGAGAAGTGTGGCTCCTTCAGCTCTAGTCTCCCCCCCACCCCCTCCAGCCCCTGCCCCTGCCCCTGCCCCTCCTCTGAGTAGCAGGCATGGCTGTTGGGCCAGGGGGAGCCAGGGAAAGTCCTATCAGTGAGTCCCTGGGCTACTGCTGTGTCTTCCTTTCCAATGAAAAACTTCGAGAGGGAAGGTGGCCCTCTCCATCGCCCCTTCCCCCTCTCCTGGCCAGCCCAGCTAGGTTAAAAGGGGGACAGGGGGGAATTAAAGACACTTCCACCCCAAACCTCAACATGCAAAGGTCCCAGTCAAATGCATGGAGACATGCAGAGATGCAGGGATCAGCACAGGGACATCATCATTGCACACACATTTCCACAGAAGACGGTGCATTTACAGCCAGGCAGACACCCACAGTGGCATACAGAGCAGGCAGAGCCGCACACAGAGACACATGTGAGCATGGGTTCATGAAGCCTTCCTATGGTTGTACATTGACATACATGAGAAAGCCCAACACAGAGGGACAAACCAGGAAGGAGATACATATGGGCTTAAACATATGCAGAAACAGACAGAAACAACCCAGAAACACACACCAACTAGCCTCTTTGGGAGGGAAGAGAACCTGAGTCTCCTCTTCTATCTTCTCCTTCCTCTTCCTCCTCCTCCCCGTCCCCCTCCCCCTCTCCCTCCTCTTCTATCTACTTCCCCTTCCCTCCCCTCCCCTCCCCTCTTCTCCCC